TTTTACCCGGGCCCGCTCACCATCACGCTCATCTCTCTGACATTAACACGCTCATCTCTCTAATTAACACGCTAATCTCTCACATTAACACGCTAATCTCTCTCACATTAACACGCTCATCTCTCTCACATTAACACGCTCATCTCTCTCACATTAACACGCTAATCTCTCACACATTAACAAGCTCATCTCTCTCACATTAACACGCTAATCTCTCTCACATTAACACGCTCATCTCTCTCACATTAACACGCTAATCTCTCACACATTAACAAGCTCATCTCTCTCACATTAACACGCTAATCTCTCTCACATTAACACGCTCATCTCTCTCACATTAACACGCTAATCTCTCTCACATTAACACGCTAATCTCTCACACATGAACACGATAATCTCTCTCACATTAACACGCTATTCTCTCACATTAACACGCTCATCTCTCACATTAACACGCTAATCTCTCACATTAACACGCTCATCTCTCACATTAACACACTAATCTCTCTCACATTAACACACTCATCTCTCTCACATTAACATGATCATCTCTCTCACATTAACACGCTGATCTCTCTCACATTAACACGCTAATCTCTCTCACATTAAAACGCTCATCTCTCACATTAACACGCTAATCTCTCACATTAACACGCTCATCTCTCACATTAACACGCTCATCTCTCACATTAAAACGCTCATCTCTCACATTAACACGCTAATCTCTCTCACATTAACACGCTCATCTCTCACATTAACACTCTCATCTCTCTCACATTAACACGCTCATCTCTCAAATTAACACGTTCATCTCTCTCACATTAACACGCTGATCTCTCACATTAACACACTACTCTCTCTCACATTAACACGCTCACCTCTCACATTAACACACTTATCTCTCTCACATTAACACGCTAGTCTTTCTCACATTAACACGCTAATCTCTCTCACATTAACACGCTCATCTCTCACATTAACACGCTTGTCTCTCTCACATTAACATGTTCATCTCTCTCACATTAACACGCTAATCTCTCACATTAACACGCTAATCTCTCTCACATTAACACGCTAATCTCTCTCACATTAACACACTAATCTCTCTCACATTAACACGCTAATCTCTCTCACATTAACACACTAATCTCTCTCACATTAACACGCTAATCTCTCTCACATTAACACGCTAATCTCTCTCACATTAACACGCTCATCTCTCCCACATTAACACGCTAATCTCTCTCACATTAACACGCTAATCTCTCACATTAACACGCTAATCTCTCTCACATTAACACGCTAATCTCTCTCACATTAACACACTAATCTCTCTCACATTAACACGCTAATCTCTCTCACATTAACACGCTTATCTCTCACACATTAACACGCTAATCTCTCACATTAACACGCTAATCTCTCTCACATTAACACGCTCATCTCTCTCACATTAACACGCTCATCTCTCTCGCATTAACACGCTAATCTCTCTCACATTAACACGCTAATCTCTCTCACATTAACACACTAATCTCTCTCACATTAACACGCTAATCTCTCACATTAACACGCTTATCTCTCTCACATTAACACGCTCATCTCTCACATTAACACGCTCATCTCTCACACATTAACACGCTAATCTCTCTCACATTAACACGATAATCTCTCTCACATTAACACGCTAATCTCTCACATTAACACGCTCATCTCTCTCACATTAACACGCTAATCTCTCTCACATTAACACGATAATCTCTCTCACATTAACACGCTAATTTCTCACAATAACACGCTAATCTATCACATTAACACGCTTATCTCTCTCACATTAACACGCTAATCTCTCTCACATTAACACGCTCATCTCTCTCACATTAACACGCTCATCTCTCTCACATTAACACGCTCATCTTTCTCACATTAACACGCTAATCTCTCTCGCATTAACACGCTAATCTCTCACATTAACACGCTAATCTCTCTCACATTAACACACTAATCTCTCTCACATTAACACGCTAATCTCTCACATTAACACGCTAATCTCTCTCACATTAACACGCTCATTTCTCTCACATTAACACGCTAATCTCTCACATTAACATAGCCACCTCCGCGCCCTCCGATCTTGCATTTATTAACATGCTAATTCGTTGCATTAACATAAATAGCCCCGCCCACTTCGTCCATGACCCATGGGCTACACCCTGCCTCAGCAGCTGTCCCACTTTTTGTTCTTCCTGATGATGAACGCTGTCGTTGAAACGTCGGAGGTCTTTTTTTTCTCTCTCGTTATTTCCTTCGAACCTATCCGAGTGACTTTACCTGAAGACCCAAAGAATATGAATTCCGATTTAAAGCTTTCGTGACTGCGAGGATTCTCGAGACAGTCTCGTCCCTTCGCCTGATGAAGGCCACTTGTGTTGTGGCCGAAACGTCGTGAGAATTTTATTGTGTTATTTTTTTTTATTAATTAATTATTTTATTCTCATTCTACGCGACTTTACCGAAAGAACCAAAGAAGATGAATATGAATTCCGGCAGTCCAGATTTGTACCGTACTTACCACTCCAATCTCGAAGAATCTGCATGGGGTGCAGTATTTTTATTTGAGTAGTATGTAGTGTATAATGCACTGTTTATAATACTTAACACTTATTTCAAGCACGCTGCGATCAACCGCAGCTACTTTTACGTCACGTACATGGTGCCGATCGCCGGACCGGCTACAACCTTTGGAGCGGTTTAACCGATTCCGGCCCGGGACCGCCTTTAGTGGTTGATTTTTTTCCTCCTTCACCACTGAAGTATCTAAGCAAACTAAACTACCGGGAGGTTTAAAGTTTGGTTTTTCCCCTCTCATTCTCTCTCTGTGTGTCTCGTTGCTCTCTCTCTCTCTGCGTGTGTGTCTGTCTTTGTGTCTCCATGTCTGTGCCTCGTCTCTCTCCCAAATTTCACCACTTAACTAGCGATCTTTGGAAAAAAAACGTAATCAACCAGAACGTGTGTTAATTGTGTGTTGACCGACTCTCTGTGTTGCATTACATTACATGTCCAAATTTTACTAAGTTTGATTTGGTGTTGCCTTCTTCGTCTGTCTGTCTGTCTCCCCTCGGTTGATGCTGTCTCCTCCAGCGTTGGCGGTGGATCTCTCATTGCGGGATCTCTCATTGACATGCTAATTCCTCTAACCACCACCCCCCCACCGCTCTCTCTGTCCCCCCTCTCTACCTATTTAAGGCCTCGACACAGAGGCGTTGTTTCTCTGTGTGCCCATACATGTGTGTCTCTCTGTGTTAACTCTTTCCGCTTGTGTGTCTGTGTATATGTGTCTCCGGTTCTGTGTCTCGTCTCTCTCTTAAAACCTTTGCAGTCTTTAGAAGAACGTAATCAACCGGGTAGGGTGTTGACTGTCATGTCAGCCGACTATCTGCGCTGTGTTGCATTATATTTCTAAGTCCACTAGGCGTGTTTCTCTTTCATTTGTACCCGACGATGATTGCCTGCTTTGCAATCGAAACGTCGTGTACGTTATTATGCAATTCATCATTTTCTATTTCTCTCCGTGACTTTACCGAAAGAACCAAAGAATAAACTAAACTAATTTTAGTTTTACTAGGAAAGTCCCACTGAACTACACGGCTCTTTTTTTTCAGAAGCGAAGCGGCTCATCATGTATAGCAGCCAAATACTCCCAACGCATGTTTCTAAATATTGAGGGTCAAAAAAAAGAAAACTGGAGGGCCCGGAGATAATCCACGTAACCACGGGGAGAACATGCAAACTGCGAACCCCAAGTATACAGTTATCAAGGTCGTGTGTCGGGATCGAACCCACGACCTCCTGGATACCTATCGCCTGTCCATCCTCTTTTTACACGCTTTTATTTAACTCGTTCTGTCTGCTGTTGTTGTTAAAGCCTCAAAAAATCTTGTAACTCAATTTTTTACCCGCTTCCCAATGTGGTATCGACTGAAAACTTGGTAGACTTATGTCGCACTGATGACAGGACTGTGTTCTATCGTTAAAATTAAAAAAAAATACATATATTTTTTAATATTTTATACACGCTTTTAGTTAACTTACTGTCTGTTGTATCTTCAAATCTTGTAATTCAATTTCAACCATCTTCCCAACGCGGTATCGACTGAAAACTTGGTATACTTATGCCATACTGATGACAAGACTGTGTTCTATCGTAAAAATTTTAAATATATTTTTAACATTTTATACACGCTTTTATTTAACTTACTGTCTGTTGTATCCTCAAATCTTGTAACTCAATTTCAACCATCTTCCCAACGCGGTATCGACTGAAAACTTGGTGTATGTATGTCATACTGATGACAATACTAGATTCTATCATTAAACATATATATTTTTTTAAAGATAATTTTTTCTACACGTTATGTTTCGGCTTGTGTGCTAATTGTCCACTGCTCAACTCACGTTGGCTGTAAATCCCCACGGGGGTCCCCCTCACGTTGTGGCCAAGCTTCGGGGCCAATTCCTGGAGTCGTGGTAGAGTTCTGCCATTAATCGTACGTTTACACTTCATTAAAGAGTGTTTAACAGAAAAAATTTATTTCATTTTTATTTTATCCGAGCTTGTAACTGCCTCAGATATCCACTGGACTGCGTAGTCCCACAATCACTGCGATGTGGGATATTCAATTCCTCTTCCTCCAGAACCTCCCTCCGTCCCCCCTTCCTCCACCGTCTCCCTCTACCTCATACTCCCTCTCTCCTCCTCCCTCTCTCTCCCCCTACCTCATACTCCTCATCCTCCTCCCTCCCTCCCTACCTCCACCATCTCCCCCTACCTCATACTCCTCATCCTCCTCATCCCTCTCTCTCCCCCTACCTCTTACTCCTCATCCTCCTCCCTCCCTCCCCCCTTCCTCTACCGTCTCCCCCTACCTCATACTCCTCATCCTTCTCCTCCCTCTCTCCCTCTACCTCATACTCCTCATCCTCCTCCCTCTCTCCCCCCTTCCTCCGTCTCCCTCTACCTCATACTCATCCTCCCTCTCCTCTTCCCTCTCTCTCCCCCTACCTCACACTCCTCCTCCTCCTCCCCTCTCCCCTCTCCCCCCCTCCTCCCCCACCACACAGCGGTGACCGCCGTCGACGACGCTGGGCCGGACCCGACGCCGCCTCCCCTCCTCTCGCTGCTCTTCAACATCTCCAACGTGCGGCGCCACGAGCTCATCGCCTCGGCCGAGCTGAGGCTGCCGCGGGCGCTGCCGGGCGGCGTTCGCTGCGCCGGCGTGGCCGGGGACGGCCCCCCGCCGGGCCACGCCCCCCCGCCGGGCCACGCCCCCCCGCCGGGCCACGCCCCCCCGCCGGGCCACGCCCCCGGAGGGGAGGGGGTCGCAGCGGAGGGCGGGGCGGAGCCGCAGGGGGAGGCGCTGTTCGTGACGTTCGACGTGACGCCGGCCGTGCGCGGATGGCAGCGTGACGGGACGGGCGCCCAGAGGCTGCGGGTTCGCGTGGAGCGCGCGGACGGCGGCGGAGGAGGAGGAGGCGGAGGAGGAGGAGGAGGAGGAGGAAGAGGAGGCGGAGGAGGAGGAGGAGGCGGAGGAAGAGGAGAAAGAGGAGGAGGAGGAGGAGGAGGAAGAGGAGGAGGCGGAGGAGGAGGCGGAGGAGGCGGAGGAGGAGGCAGAGGAGGAGGAGGCGGAGGAGGAGGAGGCCGAGGAGGAGGAGGAGGAGGAGGCGGAGGAGGAGGAAGAGGAGGCGGAGGAGGCGGAGGAGGAGGCGGAGGAGGTGGAGGAGGCGGAGGAGGAGGCGGAGGAGGAGGAGGAGGAGGAGGAGGCGGAGGAGGAGGAGGCGGAGGAGGAGGCGGAGGAGGCGGAGGAGGAGGCGGAGGAGGCGGAGGAGGAGGAGGAGGAGGTGGAGGAGGAGGAGGAAGAGGAGGCGGAGGAGGCGGAGGAGGAGGCGGAGGAGGCGGAGGAGGAGGAGGAGGAGGAGGAGGAAGCGGAGGAGGAGGAGGCGGAGGAGGAGGCGGCGATGATACCGGCAACAAGCTCAGAAGCAGCAGCGCTGACAAAAGTTACAGCACGGGCGACGGCAACGGCAGCTATGACAATACCAACAGCACGTTCAGCGGCGGCAACAAGAACAGCGGCAGCAGCAATAATGACAGTAATAATAGCCACAGCAGCTATGATAACGGTACCAAACACAACACGTTCAGCAGCAATAACAGCCACAACAACAACAGCGGCAGCAGTACCAGCAATGATAACAAGAACAGCCACAACAACAACAGCAGCTACAGCAGCAGCAGCAATAATAACAAGAACAGCCACAACAACAACAGCCACAGCAGCAGCAATAATAAGAACAGCCACAACAACAGCTACAGCACCAGCAATGATAACGATAACAAGAACAGCCACAACAACAACAGCTACAGCAGCAGCAATGATAACAAGAACAGCCACAACAACAACAACAGCTACAGCAATGATAACAACAGCAGCAGCAATGATAACAAGAACAGCCACAACAACAACAGCTACAGCAGCAGCAATGATAACGATAACAGCCACAGCAGCAGCAATAATAACGATAACAGCCACAACAACAACAGCTACAGCACCAGCAATGATAACGGTAACAAGAACAGCCACAACAACAACAGCTACAGCAGCACCAGCAATAATAACAAGAACAGCCACAACAACAACAACAGCTACAGCAGCAGCAGCAATGATAACGATAACAGCCACAACAACAGCCACAGCCACAGCAGCCACAGCAGCAGCACGAGTGGCATCAGTGTAACGAGCGGCCTCCTCGACAGCGACAGCGGCGGCGGCGTCGTCGTCGCAGCGATAAAAATCCCCGTCACGAACGCCCACAGCGGCGGCCACCTCCTCAACGCCGTCGCCTCGAAGCTCACGGCCGAGGCCCTCCTCATCGTGTTCTCCGACGACGCGAGGAGACGTCACCATCACCGTCACCGTCACCGTCGCCTCCTCCTCCGGCAGGACAGCCGTCACCGTCACCGTCACCGCCGCCGCCGCCGCCGCCATCGCCGCCATCGCCGCGGCCGCGGTCGGCACCAGGTGCCCGAGACGGCCGCCGGCCACCGGGAGGAGGAGGAGGAGGAGGCCGTCGTCGCCGGCCCCCCGGCCGCCGGACCCCCGGCCGCCGGCCGTGCCCGGCGCTACGCGGCGCCGGCGGGAGGGGCCGGGGGAGCTGCGGCCGCCGGTCAGAGGCGAGGACGAGGCTCCGTCTACTGCAGGAAGGTGCCGCTCAGGGTCAGCTTCAAGGACATCGGCTGGAACACGTGGATCATCGCCCCGCAGGTTCACCCCACCCCCCACCCAGCACCACCACCACCACCACGATAAGCGCGTGACCCGCCCCCCCCACCCACCACCCGGTGTAGCCCAAGCAGACCGTTGCGGGCAAAGTGCTCTCGGTAGCGGGTAGCAGCGGCTGTGAAGGCCGGCAGAGCGCACGTAGGGGGTGGGGGTTTGGCTGGCACCAGGCCTGGCCGCCTTTGTCTCCCACGTGTGCGGAGCTTACCGCACACGCCGTAAACCCAGGTGCCCGTCGACTTAAGGTATTCGTTAACGGGTGTCGGTGACCATGGGTGGGGAATCGAACTCGGGGTCGCCGGGTTCGTAACGCAGGTCGCCAACCGCTACAGCTGCTGCTCACAACCCCAACCTCCCTCATCACATCCGCGCGCACTACAAACAACAACAATAACAACAACCGCCATTCGCCACTAAGTGGCGGTGACGTCACCACGACGCTTGTGCCAGGCCACGTGCTCGTTGAGGCCACGTGAAGTGTCGAACGCCCGCTGGCAGGAGGTCACGGGGCAGACCCAGCAGGTGCCACGGGTCGACTGACTGAGATGACTGGCTGATGCACCACCTGTGCCCCCTACTGTGCCAACCTGCTGTGCTTTAGCCACCCGGCGCTCCGCTCGTTGTTGTGAGCGTCGCTCCTCCGCCCTCCGTTGTTGTTGGAGGGCGACTGCCTCCAACTGCCCAGTAGCAGCGTCCTTCACGAGCATCCTCCACAGAGGCCGATCTTGACACCGCTGGTACCAGTCATCGGCAAGTCCACTCAGCTCCACGTCCTCCTGTACCACATCTCTCCATCTCTTCTCTAGCCCGTGCCGCGCCCGCTTAGCCCCCTCCATCCGGCCGAACAAAAGCTGTTTAGGTATGCGGTGGCTGGGCGTGCGGGCTACATGTCCCAGCCAACGCAGACTTGCCTGCCGGAGGAGCTCACCAATGGGACTTTGTCCAGATCTTTCAAGGATTTGTGAGCTCCTCACACAATCCAACTTGGTTAAACCCAGGATGGATCGTAGGCAGGCAAGCCTAAATGTATCTAACCGGTGAAGATGTTCCATTAAGGGGGCCCACGTTTAGCAAGCGTAGAGAAGGGAGGGAAAGAGTGTGGCCGAGAAGACCTGAAGCTTCGTGCGGAGCGACAGACCAGGTAGCTTCCACACAGCATTATGCAACCAATGAAAAGATAATGCCGCTTGACTGATTCTGAGTGAGACCTCTGCTGTTAAACCGGAACCGGTCATGAGCACACTGCCCAGGTATGGCAAACTCTCCACTCTCTCCACAACTGCCCCATCACCGATTGGGAGATATGGGGGTGGACTGCTTAGTTTTGGTGGGGCTGATTGTAAGGCCCCACCTCTTAGTGGCAAGCTCCAGGTTCAGCATCAGCACCTCCAACTCCTCCTCTGAGTGAGCAGCAATTACCAGATCATTGGCATACATAATACGGTTGACCAATAGGAAGCCGTCCCTTGACCGCACCTGGGCATCGATCAGCCTCCCATTATATCTGTACCATATGGAGATTCCCCCGGTAGAGCTATTGAAGGCTTCATGAACTACATGGTCTAGATAGATGTTAAATAATGTGGGAGCCAGAGGACATCCCAGTCGCACCCCAAGGTGTACAGGGAATGGCTCCGACTCCCGGCCACGTAGTTTTACCCGGGCCCGCTCACCATCGTGAAGGTCCTTAATGATCGTGAGCAGAGGGTCAGGGACTCCGAAAGCACGAAGAATAACCCAGAGCTCAGGCATACTGATGGTATCATAGGCCTTGACCAGGTCAATAAAGCAGAGATGTAGGTCTTGCTGGAATTCCCTACATATCTGCTGTAGCAGACGGACAGAAAATATGGCATCTGTGCAGGACCGTCCTTTCCTGAAACCGCATTAGGTCTCTGCAAGCATCTCCTCAGCATGCCTAGCATGGCGATGTTGAATAATCCTTGCCAGGACTTTTCCTGGCACACTAGTCTCAGACTCTGGATCGCCTTCAGTACTTCCTCAACAGATGGCACCTCAGCCAGCCACTCACAGGGGGTGACTTCTTCCAATATTTGAGGCACAGCAGCCTCAGCAGGGTCATTCCCACTTTGTTCCACGTTGTTTTACAGGTTGAGGGACTTTCCCTCCCCCAGGACCTCACAGAAATGCTCAGCAAATCTGCAAACCTGTTTCTGGGGGTCGGAGATTGGATCCCCGTTCTCTCCCCTAATGATAGTAATAGGTGTGGCGCTGCAGGTTACTTTTTTGATGGAATTAAAGAGCGATTTGTGATCGTGGGCCATTGAGGCAGACTCTCTCCTCAGAAACCCGCGGCCACCACCCATCCTTGCAGCGCCTCATGCTACTCCGAACCTCCGAGCGAAGGCTGAGGTAAGCCTCCTCATTCTCCGTCGTGGGATTCTGGGCCTGTTGCTTTTTCTCAGTCAGCTTGAACACCTTCTCTGTCAGCCAGGGTCTCTGGGGAGGTCTGGATCGCGTACCCAAAGCAGCCATTGCAGCTGCATGAGACATAGTCCTAAACCTCGCCCATTTTCCCTTGACATCAGGATGAGTGGGGGACGATGCCAACCCCAGCCGCAAGCGATGATGAAATTCTTGCTTACAACTTTCATGAGCTGAGATCAGGCCACTGAGTTTGAATGGGGTCCTGGATGTCCACCCTCCACTGGAGTGGAAGAATATCAGGCGCATCTTACAAATTACAAGCCGATGATCAGTTGGCAGATCAGCTCCACGGTAGGTCCTGGTGTCAAGGACATGGGCCTGAATCCACTGTTCTCTCACTACATAGTCCAATAGATATTCTTGCTTGGACCCAGCATGCATCCATGATGCTGTGAGGATGCGCCGATGCCAAAACAGCGTGTTGGTAATTACAAGCCCATGGGCTGCACAAAAATCTAGCAGCATCCTACCGTTGTTATTGAGCTGATCTGGCCCATGCCTTCCAATCACTCCAGACCAAGTGCCAGTATCATGACCCACTCGGGCATTAAAGTCACCCAACAGGATGACTCTATCCCAAGGGGCCACTTTAGCTAGCACCTGTGACAGGTCACAGAAGACATTTGACTTATCGGCCTTGCCTGCATCCCTCCACTGATGTTCATCTTCACTCATGGCATGAGTGACCACAACCACCACTCGTTGTCTCTGGTTGTTGAGAAGGCCAGCCCACAGTAGCCTGGGGCTTGCAGCTTCGCACACCTCACCGTCAGGCTCCAAAACCCCCTTCATGTTTTTTTGTTCAGAAGAAGGGCAACGCCTTGTTGTTTGGCCCCGAGTAGAGGACTGTCTACTCCTCACGGTGGCTGGAGCCAGAGCCAATCCGCTGGAGCTACGCAATCCTGCAGAGATCCAAGCGGCACTGGTCCAGCTCCCAACGGAGGAGTGGCAACCTCTCATCCGCAGTGAGCGTTGAAAATTTTCACGTGGCCACTGGCGGTGGCTTTGTGTTGTTTCTGGAGGGCAAGGATTCAGTCTCCTGGCTCCGCCAAATGCGATTTGGCTAGGAGACAGAATAGACGCCTGTCCCCCCCCGGGGCAATGGCGGAGCCAGGATTTTCAGGTAGGGGGGCAACCCCTCCAAGCAATGAAAAATGATCGAGGAGTTCTTAGTAAGCAAGGACTTGTCCCTTGCGTTTTATTGGACACGTGGCTGGCGATGGGTCGAATTCGAACCGCGTTGCGATTGGCATCGCGCTCGCTCGCTGAAGGTGTTTACCTTGAGGGAAGTCGTGTACTGCGTACGCAACTGCGCACAATTCTGCGAGCGGCGACGTCACATCTGTGACATCACCGCATGCGGCAGCGTCACACAGTGTGCCCGCTGACGTCACGCACCACCCCCCCCGCCCCCCCAAACCCTCCGCGTAGGCCGTGTATTAATCCAAGACAAGAGTCCAAGTCTCGGGCGAAGCCGGGTAGCAAAGCTAGTCACCAATAAACCCCAATGATCCGATCAAAATTAGGGATTTAGATCGGATTTTTTTTTTTTGGGGGGGGGGGGGAGGGGGGCACGTGCCACCCCCACTGGCTCTGCCAGTGTCCCCGGGGCCCACGGCACAAGCTAAGCTAGATATCTTCCACCCGGTATTGTGGCAATTCAATTGATGGAGGGGTTACCAACCCCCTCGCACCCGTCCAGAGCCCCCCCCCCGTTTTGGGCTGCTGTTGTGGCGGCTTAGAGCACCATGAGGGGATTCTGAAACTGGCCTTCCCTCCGTGGCACTGCCCATCACAGCGTTACAGTCCGGCAGCACCGAGGAAGCATGGAGTTGCCTTACACAACAACAACAACAACAACCGCCATTCGCCACTAAGTGGCGGTGACGTCACCACGACGCTTGTGCCAGGCTAGCCTGGCCTGCTTTACACACACACACAGACATACATATACACGTGCGCCCACATTAACCAGACAGCCCTTCTTTGACCCGTAGTCTTAAACCCTCCACATCTCCCCCCTCTCGCCATTCCCCCCCCCCCTCCTCCCCTCCCCGCTCACACACAGGAGAACGAGGTTGTAAGACTGCACGAGTTATGTTCCAAAGTCGGTGACTGCCACGCACACAAATTCGCACCGGAAACAGCCCTTCCTTGACCCACAGGCTCAAACCACCCTCTGCCCCCGCCCGCCGCCGCCGCCCCTCTCCTCCACACAGGAGCGCGTGAACAATGTTCGCAATACGAAGGCTGCCCCGTGCATTCACCCGAGACAGTCTCCTTTGATCAGTCTCTCAAAAAAAAAAAACCCCTCTGGCCTCCCCACACCTCCCCATGCCGCCCCAGGAGTACGAGGCATACGACTGCGTGGGCAATTGCTCGTTTCCGCTGACGGACCACGTGACCCCCACGAAGCACGCCATCGTGCGCGCGCTCCTTCACACCCGGCGGCCCGAGACGGTCATGCGGCCCTGCTGCGTGCCGACGCGACTTGAGGCCATCTCCATCCTGTACCTGGACCCGGCCGGCAAGGTCACCTACCGCTACCGCTACGAGGGAATGGTCGTGGCCGAGTGCGGGTGCAGATAGGGGACAGAGAGATACAGGCGGCGGAGAGGTGGGAGAAGGTGGGGGGGGAGGTGGGGGTGGGTGGGGAGGAGGAGACGGGGAAGAATAAGAGTGGTCACTTATCTTCTTTGGTTCTTTCGGTAAAGTCACGTAGAATGAGAATTTTTATTGTGTTATTTTATTTCATCAATTTATTATTTTATTCTCATTCTACGTGGTGACTTTACCGAAAGAACCAAAGAAGATGAATCATTGCAGTCACGAAAGCTTTAAATCGAAAGTGGTCACTTATCTTCCGCGAGGGCACGATGGATGGTGGCCGAGTGCGGGTGAAGGCGGAGAGATGGAAGAGGAAGGAGATCGGTGAGAGAGAGGAGACTGGAGAGAGAGGGTAAGAGGGGGAGAGATGTGTGTCCGGATGTTGAACCTCTTTTGGCACGTAGCCAACCACGCCAATCGGAGGTGCGGGGGAATGATAGCAGACTGACACATAAAGCAGTTCTAAATAAATGAGTTTTCAATCTAGCCGGAGAGAGTGGAGAGAGAGGAAGAGATGGAAGTGATGGGAGGGGGGAAGAAAAGTCAGAGAGATGAGAGAGAGGAGCCAGGGGAGAGTCCATTGCGAGGGCGGAGAGAGCTAGCGGAATAACGTAGACGTCATGGAGAGTGGGAGGGTTTTAGGGATAGAACCACTGCCATCTTCACCAATGCACAGTCATAGCCATCGTCATAGGCATCGTTGTAATCACAGTCATCATCATAGTTATAGCCGTTATCGGCAGTCATTGTGATAGCCATCGTCATAGTCGTCAAAGACTTTATCATAGTCATCAGTCATTGTGATAGTCACCGTCATAGATGTCATTGTTATAGCCATTGTCATCATGAAAGTGGGAGTGAATACGTGGTGTAGATTTCGCGTTGATTTCGATGCCATGGGTTAAATCTCGATTAGTTTACTGTCTCTCGTTGTTAACCTCACACCTCACGGTTTGCGTTGTTGCGTCTGTGGCACGGTACTTGATGAACAAACTCTTGTTGATGTTTAAAAAAATAAAATAAAAACAAAGATGTAGCCCATTCGAAACGACATCTGTGGCGTTTGCTTTAATCTGCGCGAGATTCCCAAACGCAGAGTTTATTCACTGACATAATGAGAGTCTTTATCCTGGAAGAAATCCGATGAGCTGTGAAGATCTTTTTAACACAGACGTCCAGGTGAGCCACACCGACTCAGGGCGCCACGTTGGGGGCACCACGTTGGCTCGGAGGTGTTAACTCCCTCTCCCGGTATACAGGACGTGGGTTTGATCCCGACCCCGACGCCTGCTGCTGTATATTTGGAATGTTCGTCTCTCTCCCCGTGGTTGTGGATTTTTCTCAGGGTCCTCCATCTTTTCGCTCCACATTTAGTATCGACATCACCACACGTTCAGAGCATTCAGCTGCTGAATATTTACGTGCGATGCTGATAAGCCACTTTCGTTGAGCTATCATTTGTGATAGCCAGGTCGACTCTGAAAAAGAGCCATGTGGCTCAATTGGGGCCTTAGCCAGCAAAAATAAAAAAAAAATGTTTCGGAGTTTAGTTTAGACTCCGGGGACTTTTCCAGGAGGATCCTGTCGCTGCTGCATTGAAGTTTAGTTTTTTTGTTTTGTAAGATGTTTGGAGCCGATTAACGATGAGCTAAATTTCACTTTAAGCCTTCCGTGACTGCAGGGATTCATATTCTTGGTTCTTTCGGTAAAGTCACCACCACGTAGAAGGGAAAAAATAAAATAATAAAACAATACAATTCTCACGACGTTTTGATTGCAACACAAGCAATCATCATCGGGTGTGAAAACCACAGCAATAATTTTTTTTGAAAAAAGTGGCGTTTTCTTCTTAACGTTAGCACCACCGACAGCGACAGGCGGTTGTTCAGACGGTCGAGTCCATCTATGCTCGGAACGGAGGAGGGGGTAGAGAAGGAGAATGGAATGCGGTCTGAAAGTCACCGTAAGCGTGAACAAAATCAATCAAGACCCGAAATGGTTTATCACATCCTTCCAATGATTGCTTAGCCAGAATCCATCTTCTCGGTTTAAATCGTCTCTGTGCTTGTACATGTGGATAGCCCCATGTGATAAACCATTTCGGGTCTTGATTGATCGTGTTCACGCTTACGGTGACTTTCAGACCGCATTCCATTCTCCTTCTCTCCCACCTCCTCCGTTCCGAGCACAGATGAACTCGTCCGTCTGAACAACCGCCAGTCGCTGTCGGTGGTGCTAACGTTAAGAAGAAAAAAACGCCACTTTGTAAAAAAAAAATATCTCTTGCTGTGGTTTTCACACCCGATGATGATTGCTTGTGTTGCAGTCGAAACGTCGTGACTTTGCCGAAAGAACCAAGAATAACGACGAGTTGTTTATTAATTCTAGATTTGAAGCTTTCGTGACTGCAAGGATCCATACTCTTTGGTTCTATTCGGTAAAGTCACGTAGTAGGCAAAAAATAAAACAACAAAAATCACGACGTTTCGGCCACAACACAAGCGGCATTCATCAGGTGAAGGGACCAGACTGTCTAGAGGACAGCGTTGGAGTGAAAACAGCCAAGCCCAGGTAGCGTCCTTTCATTTCTATACTACTTCCTTCGTCAAGCGCTTTGCTTCCTCCCACACAGAGCTTGGCTGTTTTCACTCCAACGCTGTCCTCATGACAGCACGGTCCCTTCACCTGATGAGGGCCACTTGTGTTGTGGCCGAAACGTCGTGGTTTTGTTATTTTGTTTTTTTACCTACGTGACTTTACCCAATAGAACTCAAAGAGTATATTTGTTTATTACTCAAGTGAGCAGAAGCCGGAGCACACGGAGGAAACCCTACTCCTTTGCGTGAGGGGGCAATGACGTCATCCTCGTCACGGATGGAGAGGGATGGCGATTGCTCCACTTGCTTAAGGAGCGTAAACCTCTCAAGGAGAAATGCAGTAAAACCTTACGGATCGCGAGCAACTTGGTTCTTGCGAGTGTTTTGCAAGACGAGCAAAAAATTTTTTGTAAAATAAATATTGATTTGATAAACGAGCGAGGGTCTTGGCGATACGAGCGGCAGTAGTACGTGTGGACGCTTTTGTACTGCCGTGCGTCACGTGATCACAACTGATGTAACCAGCGAGGGTCTTGGCGATACGAGCGGCAGTAGTACTTGTACACGCTTTGTACTGTCGAGCGTCACGTGATCATGGCAGACGTACGAGCGAGGGTCTTAGCGATACAAGCGGTAGTAGTACTTGTACACACTTTTGTACTGCCGTGCGTCACGTGATCACGGCTGACGTACGACGAGCGCTTTGGTGTACGAGCGCTTTGGGTTACAAGCGCGTTTTGCGGAACGAATTGCGCTTCGCAACCCGAGGTTTTCACTGCAAGCCATCGCCACGCGAACTCCGTTCGTCGCCCCTCGCAGCAGCGGGCTTTTGGGTGGCCATCGAAGGAAGACGGTGGTCGCCGCATCGCGCGGCGCTTTCAGAGCCTCTCCTGCGGCCGTCTGGAACGTTCTCCCTTCCGATATGACGAAGCCGCTCGAGCAAAGAAATTTTAAATCTAAATTGATAACACTCATTTCCTTAGAGCTGACTTCCGCGTTTAGCTTGATGTCCTTCGGCCCGCACATCCGATCAGCACGGTCGGCTACGTACGGTGCTAAAGAACCTTCTTTGGTTCTTTCGGTAAAAGTCACGTGGAATGAGAATAAAACAATAAAGTAAAATGAGACAATAAAATTCTCACGACGTTTCGGCCGCAACACAAGTAGCCCTCTTCAGGTGAAGTAACAAAACTGTCGGGATGACAGAGCTCCATTTTATTGCCTTATTTTATTATTCCGTTCTCATTCTACGTGACTTTACCGAAAGAACCAAAGAAGATGCATCCTTGCAGTCACGAAAGCTTTAAATCGGTGCTAACGAAGTTTCAAGATAGATACACTTCATCATTAGACCTCCTTTGCCAGTACCAAAATGTAATAATAATAGGGGTTTTTCCCCTTTTTTCTGGTAACAAAACTGAAACCTTTTTTTCACAAGGATTCATGTTTACTGCATTAACCACAATACCTGCAGTCAAAATGCAAACGAAACACACACTATGATATGTGATGATGCATTGTCCTTGAAACTGATTGGTCCACACCAAGGGATGGCTTTCTTTTGAGCCTCGACCCAATTGGTGCTCGACCAGGTGGACCAATCAGTTTCAAGGACAATGCCACATATATTATCATAGTATGTTTTTCGTTTGCATTTTGACTGCAGGTATTGTGGTTAATGCAGTAAACATGAATCCTTGTAAAAAAAAAAGGTTTCAGTTTTGTCATCAACAATAAAAGGGGAAAAACCCGCTATTATTATTATTATTGATAGATACACCTTCCGGCTCGCCACGGTTACGGCTCCTCTCTCAACGCCCACGGGGAGTTTCACAACATTTGTGCGACCAATCCACTGACCCTCGCTGCCGGATTACACGCTAAGGAGAACACCCCCGCCAACCCGCCCGTCCGTATAGCCCGAACAGACTGTTGGCGCAAGTGCCGTTAGTGACCACCTATGACGTACACGAGGGGGGTGGGTGTGCCAGCACTCTCCCAAGTGGCCACGTTTTTTTCACGCTACCGCAACAGGTAATCGTTTGAGGCCGAGTCGACCTGGGGGAGGCCCAGGACCGGTTCGGGAATTCGTCAACGGCGTTGGCCGTTAGCGGGGGGACTATGGTCGCCAGGTTCGCAGTGAGTGCAGCGCGTTAACCGCCACGCTAAAGTTCCCCACCCGTCCATCCCATCCATCCGCACGCAAACACAACAACCGCCATTTGCCACGAAGTGGTGGCGGGTGACGTTCACGACAGCGTCCGTGCCGGACCACATGCAGACCCACACATACACGAGCCCGCTAGCGCCCGCTAGCGCCCGCTAGCGCCCGCTAGCGCCCGCTAGCGCCCGCACACGCACACGCGGGCGTGAGATTTACCTCAACTTTATTGCAAGCAACTCAGCTCGATGCCAATGACATAACTCGCCAATTTGTTACAAAGTTTAGAGGGGGTGGGGTCGGAGGGGCAATTGCACACACAAACGCGCGTGTAGCGCGCGGCCAACGCCTAGGTAGGCTCGGCCACCAATAAATTCAACGTAGTAGTATACAGTATAGCGCGTATATATTTATATTTTTTTTGGGAGTCGTGCGTGGTTGGGGAGCGGTGGCTCAGCGGTTGGCGCACCGGGCCGCACTGCAAACCTGGCGGAGTCCCGGGTTCGACTCCCACTCACGGCCACCACCACCACCACCACCAGGTGACAGCAGCGATTATGTGAACCGGTCCTGGGCCTACCCTAGGTCGACTCAGCCTTATTACACAACTACCCGGTGCAGCGTTTTAAACATCAGCACCGGGGAGGTAGAGGCGGCAGGGCAGGTCGTAAGTGCTGGCCACCCATCCCCTTCGGGTACCACAGTGCCGGACTTCATAGGCGCTGCTGCTGCTGCTGGGAGCATTCGCAAACAGCACTTGACCCAACGGCCTGTTGGGAGGCTATACAGGGGATCTTCGTCTTTGTGTGAATGAGTCATTGAGTGAGTCTATGAGTGATTCTGTGTTAGAGTGAGTCTATGGTTGAGTGAGTCTATGGTTGAGTGAGTCTATGGTTGTGTCTATGATTGAGTGAGTCTATGGTTGAGTATATGGTTAAGTGAGTCTATGGTTGAGTGAGTCTATGGTTGAGTGAGTCTATGGTTGAGCGAGTCTATGGTTGAGCGAGTCTATGGTTGAGCGAGTCTATGGTTGAGTGAGTCTATGGTTGTGTCTATGATTGAGTGAGTCTATGAGTGAGTCTATGGTTGAGTGAGTCTATGGTTGAGTGAGTCTATGGTTGAGTGAGTCAATGAGTCTGAGTGAGTATATATGAGAGTCTATGTAAGAGTAAGTCTATGATTGAGTGAGGCTATGATTGAGTCTATGATTGAGTGAGTCAATGAGTCTGAGTATATATGAGAGTCTATGGTTGAGTGAGTCTATGGTTGAGTGAGTCTATGTTTGTGTCTATGATTGAGTGAGTCTATGGTTGAGTTTATGATTGAGTCAGTCGATGAGTCTGAGTGAGTAAATATGAGTCTATGTAACAGTGAGTCTATGAGTAAGTCTATGATTGAGCCTATGATTGAGTGAGTATATGATTGAGAGAGTCTGAGTGAGTGTATGTGAGAGTCTATGTGACAGTGGGTCTATAACCGAGTCTATGAGTAAGCCTATGAGTCAGTATATGAGTGAGTCTTAGAGTCAGTATATGAGTGAGTCTATGAGTGATGCTATGAGTGTGTTTATCTGTCAAGGCCTTTGTGGTTTCTTCTCCTCCTGCTTTTTTTCAAAGTCTTCAAACGTCTTCTCAGTCACATCATCAACGTCATCCTTAACCTGCACACACACACACACACAAGTATACAAAGACAAAGATCCCTCTATAGCCTAAACAGACTGCAAGGGCAAGTGCTGTTAGCGAGTATCAGTACCTAGAGGTGATGCTTAATTTTACATTGGACACGGGCACTCACAGACACTCATACACAAAGACCCCTCATGTAGCCTTCACAGACTGTTGGGGCAAGTGCCATTAGCGAGCGCCTATGAAGGCCGGAATGGCACACGAGGGCGTGGGTGGCCAGCACCACGTCCGACCGCCTTTGTCTTCCCAGTGGCGATGTTTTTACACACCACACCAGGTACTCATTTGAGGCCGAATCGACCCAGGCAAGGCCCATGACCGGTTAAGATAATCGCCGCTGGTGTTGGCCGGTGAGCGGGAATCGAACCCGGGTCGCTGGGTTCGTAGCGTAACGTGCCAAACTGCTACACTACCGCTCCCCATACACAAAGATCCCCCGTATAGCCTTGACAGACTGTAGGGGCAAGTGCTGTTAGCGAGCACCTATGAAGGCCGGATCGGTACACGAGGGGGTGGGTGGCCAGCACACGCCCGACCGCCTTTGTCTCCCTAGTGGCAATGTTTTACCACACCGCACCAGGTACTCATTTGAGGCTGAGTCGACCTAGGGGAGGCCCGGGACCGGTTCAGATAATCGTCACTGGTGTTGGCCGTGAGCGGGAATCGAACCCGAGTCGCCAAGTTCATAGCGCAGCGTAGCGCTAACCGCTACACTACCGCTCCCCATACACACGCACTCATACACCAACAACATCAAATGCCATTTGCCCCTAAGTGGTAGTGACGTCACCACAGTGCTTGTGCCAGGGCTATGTGCACGTTGAGACCACGTGAAGTGTCGAACGCCCACCGACAGGTCACGGAACAGACCCAGGTGCCACGGGTCGACTGAGATGAATGGCCGAATACACGGCCTGTGCCCCCCTACTACGCTAACTTGCTGTGTTTTAGGCCACCCGGTGCTCCGCTCGTTGTTGAGCGTCGCTCCTCCGCCCTCCGTTGTTGTTGGAGGGCGACTGCCTCCAACTGCCCAGTAGCAGCGTCCTTCACGAGCCTCCTCCACAGAGGCTGATCTTGACACCGCTGGTACCGGTCATCGGCAAGTCCACTCACGTTCATATCCTCTCACATCACATCATTCCATCATCTTATCTAGCACGTGCCACACACGTTTAGCCCCCTCTGTCCGGCCTAATAAAAGCTGTTTGGGCATGAGGTGGCTGGGCATGCAGGCAACATGACCCAGCCAACGCAGCCTTGCCTGCCGGAGAAGCTCACCGATGGGACTGTGTCTCCTGCTCATTTAAGAATAGTGTGAACTCACACATTACAGCCTGGTTAAACCAAGAATGGATCTTAGGCCGGCAAGCCTGAATGTTTCTAACCGGCGAAGACGTTCCATGAGGGAGGCTCCACGTTTCACAAGCATAGAGAAGGGATGGCATAACCGTGGCTGAGAAGGCGTGAAGCTTCATGGAGAGACAAGGTAGCTTCCGCAGAGCGTTACGCAGCCGATGAAAAGATAATGCCGCTCGACTGATTCGGAGACCTCTGCTTTCAAACAGGAGCTGGTTATAAGCACACTGCTCAGGTATGGAAACCTCTCCACTGTCTTCACAACTACCCCACCAATGGGGAGTTGAGGGTGTCGAGTGTTTGATGACACAAAATACCCAGGCAAGTGCTTAGTTTTGGTGGGGCTGATTGTAAGGTCCCACCTCTTGGTAGCACACTGCAGGTTCAGCAGTAGTGCCTCCAACTCCTCCTCAAGAGTGAGCGGCAATCACCAGATCATCAGCATACGTAACACGGTTGACCAATAGGGAGCCATCCATCAACTGCACCGGAGCATCGATCAGCCTCCCATTGTATCTGTACGAGATGGAAATTCCTCCAGTAAGGCCATTGAAAGATTCGCGAAATGTGATTGAACATTTTTTATATAATGTAGGTGCCAGAGGACATCCCTGTCGAAACCGCAAGGTGAACAGGAAATGGCTCTCCCGGCCACGTAGCTTTACCCGGGCCCACCCACTATCATGAAGGTCCTTAATGATTGTGAGCAGTCAGGGTCTCTGAAAGCACGAAGAACCCAGAGGCCAGAACAACCCAGAGGCCAGGCCGACTGATGGTATCATAGTGCCTTGACCAGGTTTAATAAAGCAGAGATGTAGGTTATGTTGGAATTCCCTACACGTCTGCTGTAGCACCCGGACATAAAATATGGCATCTGTGCAGGACCGCCCTGGCCTGGAACCACATTGGGGCTCCGCAAGCCTCTCCTCAGCGTGCCTGGCAAGATGATTTTGAGTAATCCCTGCCAGGACCTTTCCCGACACTGAGGAAAGAGATGCCCCTGTAGTTGTTACAGTCTGTACGATCCCCCTTCTTAAGAAGGAGACCACCAGGGCACCCTTCCAATCCTGCAGAACCCGTCCAATGGTCCAGACTATTATTATGATGTCGTATAGGCAGTCTGCACAGAAACACCACCGTCCCTCAGCAGTTCACTTGAGAAAATCATCTTTGTCCGGCAATTTTCCTGGTCTCAGACTCTTGAATACCTTCAGAACTTCCTCAATAGATGGCACTTCAGCCAGCCACTCACAGGGGGTGACAACTTCTTCCAATAAGGCACAGCAGCTTCAAAAGGATCATCCCCACTTTGTCCCACGTTGTTTTCTGGGCTGAGGGATTTCCCCAAGACCTTACAGAAATATTCATCAAATCTGGAAACTTGTTCCTGGGGGGCCATAGATCGGATCACCTTTCTTTCCTCTAAGAATGATTGGTGTGGCGCTGCAAGTCACTTTTTTATACAATTAAAAGTGATGTGATCTTGATTCAAATCTTTCGTGACTGCAGTGATTCATATTCTTGGTTCTTTCGGTAAAGTCACCACGTTGAAAGGAAACAATAAAATAAATATAAAACAATAAAATTATCACGACGTTTCGACTGTAACACAAGCAATCATCATCAGGTGTGAAAACCAACAGCACCTGATGATGTTTGTGTTACAGTCGAAACGTCGTGAGAATTTTATTGTTTTATTTATATTTTATTATTTTATTGCTTCCCTTCAAGAACCAAGAATATAGTGATGTGATCGTGAGCCAGTGAGGCAGACTCCATCTCCTCAGCAATCCGCGACCACCACTCACCCTTACAGCGCCGCACGGCTCTCCGAACCTCCAAGCGAAGGCTGCAGTAAGCCACCTCAGCTGGAACACCGCCTCTGTCAGCCTGGGAGTCTGGGCAGGTTTGGACCATGTACCCCAAGCAGCCATTGCAGTAGCATGTGCCAGTCCTAAACATCGGCCATTTCCCCTGAGCATCAGGAGGAGGGGGGGGGGACGATGCCAACCCCAGCTGCATGTGATGATAAAATTATCGCTTGCAACTTTCATCAGTTAGCTGAGACCAGGCCACTGTGGGTTTGAATGAGGTCCTGGCTGGGACACCCACCACCGGAGTGGAATAATGACAGGCACATCTTACAGATGACAAGCCGATGGTGAGTGGGCAGATCAGCTCCACGGTAGGTCCTGGTGTCAAGGGCATGGGCCCGCATCCACTGTTCCATCACTAAATAGTCCAGCAGATGTTCTTGTTTGGACCCGCCATGCATCCATGATGTGTGGATGCGCCGATGCTGGAACGGCGCGTTGGTAATTACAAGCCCATGGGCTGCACAGCCGATCTCTGGCCCATGCCTTCCAATCATTCCAGTCCCAGGTGCCAGCATCATGACCCACTCGGGCAATAAAGTCACATAACAGAATGATGTTATCCTGAGGGGCCACTTTAGCTAGCGCTTGCGACAGGCCACAGAAGGCATCCGACTCATTGGCCTTGCCTGCACCTCTCCGCTGGTGTTCATCTTCGGTGGGGGCGGAAGCAACCGGCACTCTTCTTCGCCTTCCATTAATGGGGAGGAGAAACCACAGTAGCCTGGGGCTCGCAGCTATCCCACACCGCACTGCCACGCTTCAGAAGAAGAGCCACTCTCCCTGTTGTTCAGCAGGCTCCTGCCTCGAGTGGAGGACTCTCCATCCCTCAACGTGAATGGAGCCAGAGCCGGTCCACCGGACCCTCCTGATTGCCACAGAGATCCAGGCGGCGTCCGTCCCAGCTACCGACAATTTGGAGGTGCGCATCCTCTCCTCCGCAGTGAGTGTTCAAACATTCCCACCTGGCCGCACTAAGTGGGGTTTTTTTTTTCCACCGTTTCCGGTGGAACCCCCCGATGGTGCGGCTTCAGGCTCCAGGCCCTGCGCCAAATGGGGTTTCGCCGGGAAGACGTCACAGACGCCTGCCACCCTGGGGGCCTCTTGGCGTGACCTTAAGATTGTTTTCCATGCGGGGCTCAGCGGCGGTACATTTGAAGGCGGAGGGGCTGACCAGCCCCCTCGCACCTGCCGGGAGCGCCCATCGGCCGCCGTGGTGGCTACAAAACGCCGTGAGGGCGAGCGGCCGGTTGGAATCGGCCTCTCCCCTAGGGCACTGCGCACCCACAGCGTTACCCTCGGGCAAACACCAGGGAGGTAGGGGGGCCGTTTCAACCGGACACGCCTGCTGCGCGCGTCATATACTGACACACACACACACACACGGGCAAACACCTCCTGAACAACCCCAACAGACTGTTGGGGCAAGTGCTGCTAGCGGCGAGCAGCAGCAGCAGCAGCAGCAGCGTCGATGAAGGCCGGCACGTTGGCAACACCCCCCCCCCCCCCACCTCCGATGAGAGGGCTTCAACGTACACGCGTGGAGTAGGAGCCAGTGACGTCACGTCACGCTCGCCCTCCGGTACGATGACATCATCGTCACGCGCGGTGACGTCATGGACAGGCGGCGGGGCGGTGACATCACGTCCCCCCCGGGGTTATTTAGGTTGGGACGGGTGACGTGTTATTGTGCTCGTTGCGGGGAGCCCAGGAACGGGCGGAGTTGGGAGTTGGGACCCAGGGGTAGGGGGAAATTGGCACCAGGCTGGGGGTAGCCTGCGGGTGTGCTAGGGACCTCCACCAGTACCCTGACCTCGCCCTGGGGTGTGGAGCGTAGGCAGTGAGGGGGGCAGTACACGGAGTCGTGTCCGAAGAGAAGTCTTTAATAATAAAACAGCTGGCGCAAGCCCCTACACGCCTCAACACATACATACATACATACGCCTTTGTCTTCCCGGTGGTGATGTTAAATACAAATTGGACACGTGCACTCACACACACACACACATCCATACAAAGATAAAGATCCCCCCATATAGCCTTAACAGACTGTAGGGGCAAGTGCTGTTAGCGAGCAGCACCTATGAAGGCCGGAACGGTACACGAGGGGGTGGGTGGCCAGCACCACGCCCGACCGCCTTGTCTCCCCAGTGGCGATGTTTACTACACACCGCTACACCAGGTACTCATTTGAGGCTGAGTCGACCTAGGGGCGGCCCGGGACCGGTTCAGATAATCGTCACTGGTGGTGTTGGCCGTGAGCGGGAATCGAACCCGGGTCGCCAGGTTCATAGCGCAGCGTAGCGCTAACAGCTACACTACCGCTCCATACACACACACACTCGTACACAAATACAAAGGCCAAGAACAAATACCCCCAGTGTAGACTGATACAGACTGTGAGTAAATTTAGATTTAAAGCTTTCGTGACTGCAGTAATTCATATTCTTAGCTCTTTCGGTAAAGTCACCACGTTGAAGGGAAACAGTAAAATAATAAAATATATATAAAACCAATAAAAAAATTCTCACGACGTTTCGACCATAACACAAACGGTCGAAACGTCGTGAGAATGTTTACTTGTTTTATATATATATTTTATTATTTTATTGTTTCCCTTCAACGTGACTTTACCGAAAGAGCTGAGAATAAGACTGTGAGTAAGCGAGTTGCATTGCCCATGAAGGCTACCGGCACTGTGGCACACAAAGGGGGGTGGGGGGGGGTGGCCAGCAACCACGCCTGGCCGCCTTTGTCTCCCCGACGGCGATCATACCTTACACACCACCGCACCAGGTACTCATTTGAGGCTGAGTCGACCTAGGGGAGGCCCAGGGCTTAGTCAGGTAATCGCCATCATCGGTGTTGGTGACCATGAGCGGGAATCGAACTAGGGTCACTGCCGGGTTTGTAGGGTTTGTAGGGTTTGTAGGGTGCGTACACAAATGCACTAAGGTCCATCATGTAGCCTCAACAGACGATCGGGGCAAGTGTTGATGGCTTTCACAATCTCCCTCTCTCTGCCTCCCTCAGCCTCCATATCTCTCCCATCTCTCCTCTCAGTCCCCCTCTTGCTCTCCCCCCCCCTCTCCCTCCACTCTCTCTAACCTCTCAACATCTCTCTCACACCATCTCACCATCGCTCTCTCTCTCTCACCTGCTCCACAGAGGTCACTTCTGCGATGTAGAACTGCATTTCCCCCTATCTCTCCCCTCTCTTTCACCATCTCTCTCTATCTCCCTCCCCCTCTCTCTCCTGTCTCTCTCTCTCTCTCACCATCTCTCTCACACCATCACACCATTTCTCTCTCTATCTCCCTCTCTCCCCTGTCTCTCTAACCACTCACCATCTCTCTCACACCATCTCTCTCTCTATCTCCCTCCCATCTCTCCCCTGTCTCTCTAACCATCTCACCATCTCTATCTCCCTCTCTCCCTGTCTCTCTAACCACTCACCATCTCTCTCACACCATCTCTCTCTCTATCTCTCTATCTCCCTTTCTCCCCTGTCTCTCTAACCACTCACCATCCCTCTCACACCATCTCACCATCTCTCTCTCTCTATCTCCCTCCCCTCTCTCCTGTCTCTATAACCTCTCACCATCTCTCTCACACCATCTCACCATCTCTCTCCCCCTCTCTCCCCTGTCTCTCCCTCTCACCATCTCTCTCACACCATCTCTCTATCTCTATCTCCCTCCTCCTCTCTCACGTCTCTCTAACCTCGCAACATCTCTCTCACACCATCTCACCATCTCTCTCTATCTCCCTTCCCCTCTCTCCCCTGTCTCTCTAACCTCTCACCATCTCACCATCTCTCTCTCATCTCCCTCCCCCTCTCTCACCATCTCTCTCACACCATCTCACCATCTCTCTCTATCTCCCTCCCCCTCTCTCCCCTGTCTCTCTAACCACTCACCATCTCTCTCACACCATCTCACCATCTCTCTCTATCTCCTCTCCCCCTCTCTCCCTGTCTCTCTCCCTCTCACCATCTCTCTATCTCCCTGCCCCTCTCTCTCCTGTCTATCTCCCTCTCACCATCTCTCTCACACCATCTCACCATCTCTCTCTCTATCTCCCTCCCCCTCTCCCCCTGTCCCTCTAACCTCTCACCATCTCTCTCACACCATCTCACCATCTCTCTCTCTATCTCCCTCCCCCTCTCTCTCCTGTCTCTCTAACCTCTCACCATCTCTCTCACACCATCTCTCTCTATCTTCCTCCCCCTCTCTCCTCTCTCCCTCTCACACCATCTCACCATCTCTCTCTATCTCCCTCCCCCTCTCTCCCCTGTCTCTCTAACCACTCACCATCTCTCTCACACCATCTCACTATCTCTCTCTATCTCCCTCCCCCTCTCTCCCTGTCTCTCTCCCTCTCACCATCTCTCTCACACCATATATCTCTCTATCTTCCTCCCCCTCTCTCTCCTCTCTCCCTCTCACACCATCTCACCATCTCTCTCTATCTCCCTCCCCCTCTCTCCCCTGTCTCTCTAACAACTCAACATCTCTCTCACACCATCTCACCATCTCACTCTCTATCTCCCTCCCCCTCTCTCTCCTGTCTCTCTTCCTCTCACCATCTCTCACACCATCTCACCATCTCTCTCACACCATCACACCATCTCACCATCTCTCTCTCTATCTCTATCCCCTCTCTCCTGTCTCTCTAACAACTCACCATCTCTCTCACACCATCTCTCTCTCTCTATCACCCTCTCTCCCCTGTCTCTCTCCCTCTCACCATCTCTCTCACACCATCTCTCTCACACCATCTCTCTCTCTATCTCCCTCCCCCTCTCTCCTGTCTCTTCTCTCTCCCTCTCACCATCTCTCTCACACCATCTCACCATCTCTCTATCTCCCTCCCCCTCTCTCCCCTGTCTCTCTCCCTCTCACCATCTCTCTCACACCATCTCACCATCTCTCTCTCTATCTCCCTCCCTCTCTCCCTGTCTCTCTAACACTCACCATCCTCTCTCACACCATCTTCACCTATCTCTCTCTCTCTCTATCTCGCTCCCCCTCTCTCCCCTGTCTCTGCCTAACCACTCACCATCTCTCTCACACCATCTCACCATCCTCTCTCTTCGATCCTCCCTCCGCCCTCTCCTCCCCTGTCTCTCTACCTCTCACCATCTCTCTCACACATCTCTATCTCTATCCTCCTCCCTCTCGATCCTCCCCCTGTCTCTCTCCCTCACCTCTCTCTCACACCAGCTGACACATCTCTCTCACACCATCTCTCTCTCTATTCCCTCCCACCCGCTCTCCCTGTGTCTCTCTAACCATCTGCACCATCTCTCGCACACCATCTCACCATCTCTCTCTATCTCTCTCCCCTGTCTCTCCCTCTCACCATCTCTCTCACACCATCTCTCTCTCACTCTCTATCTCCCTCTCTCACCTGTCTCTCTCCCTCTCACCATCTCTCTCACACCATCTCACCATCTCTCTCTCCATCTCCCTCCCCCTCTCTCCTGCTCTCTCCCTCTCACCATCTCTCTCACACCATCTCTCTCACACCATCTCTCTCTATCTCCCTCTCTCCTGTCTCCCACTCACCATCTCTCTCACACCACTCTCTCTCTATCTCCCTCCCCCTCTCTCTCCTGTCTCTCTAACCTCTCACCATCTCTCTCACACCATCTCACCATCTCTCTCTCTATCTCCCTCCCCTCTCTCTCCTGTCTCCCACTCACCATCTCTCTCACACAATCTCACCATCTATCCCCCTCTCTCCCCTGTCTCTCTCCCTCTCACCACTCTCTCACACCATCTCCCTCACACTATCTCTCTCACACCATCTCACCATCTCTGTCTCTCACCTGCTCCACGGAGGTCACTTCTGGGATGTAGAACTGCATTTCCCCTATCTCTCCCCTTCACCATCTCTCTCTATCTCCCTCCGCCTCTCTCTCCTGTCTCTCCCTCTCACCATCTCTCTCACACCATCTCACCATCTCTCCCCCTCTCTCCCTGTCTCTCTCCCTCACACCATCTCTCTCACACTCTCTATCTCCCTCTCTCCCCTGTCTCTCTCCCTCTCACCATCTCTCTCATACCATCTCACCATCTCTCTCTATCTCTCTCCCCATCTCTCCCCTGTCTCTCTCCCTCTCACCATCTCTCTCACACCATCACACCATCTCTCTCCCTCTCACCATCTCTCTCACACCATCTCTCTCTCTCTCTGTCTCTCACCTGCTCCACGGAGGTCACCTCTGGGATGTAGAACTGCATCATGTTCAGGATGCCGCTGCTGAGCGTGAGCGAGGAGGAGGGGCACGAGGTACAGGCGCCCTGCAGGCGAAGCGACACGACGCCGTCGCGGAATCCACGGAACTCCACGTCGCCACCGTCCTCCTGAACCGTGGGGCTGGGACAGAGACGGAGAGACACACGGGGGGAGAGACACGGGGAGAGAGACACACGGGGGGAGAGAGACACACGGGGAGAGAGAGACACACGGGGAGAGACACACGGGGAGAAAGAGACACAAGGGGAAGAGAGAGAGAGACACGGGGGGAGAGACACACGGGGAGAGAGACACACGGGGGGAGAGACACGGGAGAGAGAGACACGGGAGAGAGAGACACGGGGGAGAGAGAGACATGGGGAGAGAGAGAGAGACACGGGGAGAGAGAGACACGGGGAGAGAGAGACACGGGGAGAGAGAGAGAGACACGGGGAGAGACACGGTGAGAGAGAGAGACACGGGGGAGAGACACGGGGAGAGAGACACACGGGGGGAGAGACCCGGGGAGAGAGACACGGGGAGAGAGACAAGGTGAGAGAGACACGGGGAGAGAGACACGGGAGAGAAAAACGGGGGGGAGAGACACGGGGAGAGACACATGGGGGGAGAGACCCGGGGAGAGAGACACGGGGAGAGAGACAAGGTGAGAGAGACACGGGGAGAGAGACAAGGTGAGAGAAAAACGGGGGGAGAGACACGGGGAGAGAGACACGGTGAGAGAGTCACAGGGGGGAGAGACACAGGGGGAGAGACACGGGGGGGGGGGGGAGAGACACATGGAGAGAGAAACGGGGAAGAGACACGGGGAGAGAGAGACATGGGGGAGAGACACGGGGAAGAGACACGGGGAGAGAGACACGGGGGGAGAGACACCGGGGGACAGACACGGGGAGAGAGACACGGGGAGAGAGACACGGGGGAGACACGGGGGAGAGACACGGTGAGAGAGACACAGGGGAGAGAGACACGGGGAGAGAGACACGGGGGAGAGACACGGTGAGAGAGACACAGGGGAGAGAGACACGGGGGGAAGAGACACGGGGAGAGAGACACGGGGAGAGAGACACGGTGACAGAAAAACGGGGGGGGGAAAACAGGGAGAGAGACATGGGGGGAAAGACACGGTGAGAGAGACACAGGGGGGAGAGACACGGTGAGAGAGACACAGGGGGGAGAGACACGGGAAGAGAGACCACGGTGAGAGAGACAGGGGGAGAGAGACACGGTGAGAGAGACACAGGGGGGAGAGACACGGGAAGAGAGACACGGTGAGAGAAACAGGGGGAGAGAGACACGGGGAGAGAAACAGGGGGAGAGACACGGGGAGAGAGACACGGGAAGAGAGACACGGGGAGAGACACACGGGGAGAGAGACACGGGGAGAGAGACACGGGGGTAGAGACACGGGGAGAGAGACACGGATTGAGAGAGACACGGGGGGGAGAGGGAGACACGGGGAGAGAGAGACACGGGGAGAGAGACACGGGGAGAGAGACACGGGGGGGAAAGACACGGGGAGAGAGACACGGGGAGAGAGACACGGGGAGAGAGACACGGGGGTAGAGACACGGGGAGAGAGACATGGATGGAGAGAGACACGGGGGGGAGAGGGCGACATGGGGAGAGTGTTTGGGTGAGTGGGTGGGTGATCCTGGCCATTGGGGGTGGGGTGGGGTGCAGAACCGCAGTCCAACAACAATCACCGCTCACCAGACACACTCACCACTCACCACCCCCAGACACACTCACCACTCACTAATCACCAGACACACTCACCACTCACTACTCACCAGACACACTCACCACTCACCACCCACCAGACACACTCACCACTCACTACTCACCAGACACACTCACCACTCACTACTCACCAGACAACACTCACCACTCACTACTCACCAGACACACTCACCACTCACTACTCACCAGCACACTCACCACTCCTACTCACCAGACACACTCACTACTCACCAGACACACTCACCACTCACCACCACCAGACACACTCACCGCTCACTACTCACCAGACACACTCACCACTCACTACTCACCAGACACACTCACTACTCACCAGATACACTCACCACTCACTACTCACCAGACACACTCACCAATCACCCCCCAGACACACTCACCGCTCACTACTCACCAGACACACTCACCACTCACTACTCACCAGACACACTCACTACTCACCAGACACACTCACCACTCACTACTCACCAGACACACTCACCACTCACTACTCACCACACACTCACTACTCACCAGACACACTCACCACTCACTACTCACCAGACACACTCACCACTCACCACCCACCAGACACACTCACCACTCACCACTCACCAGACACACTCACCACTCACCACTCACCAGACACACTCACCACTCACCACCCACCAGACACATTCACCACTCACTACTCACCAGACACACTCACCACTCACTACTCACCAGACACACTCACCACTCACTACCCACCAGACACACTCACTACTCACTACTCACCAGACACACTCACCACTCACTACTCACCAGACACGCTCACCACTCACCACTCACCAGACACCTCACCACTCACTACTCACCAGACACACTCACCACTCACTACCCACCAGACACACTCACTACTCACTACTCACCAGACACACTCACCACTCACCACTCACCAGACACACTCACCACTCACTACTCACCAGACACACTCACCAATCACCACCCACCAGACACACTCACCACTCACTACCGACCAGACACACTCACCACTCACTACTCACCAGACACACTCACTACTCACCAGACACGCTCACCACTCACTACTCACCAGACACACTCACCACTCACTACTCACCAGACACACTCACCACTCACTACTCACCAGACACACTCACCACTCACTACTCACCAGACACACTCACCACTCACTACTCACCAGACACACTCACCACTCACTACTCACCAGACACACTCACCGCTCACTACTCACCAGACACACTCACCACTCACTACTCACCAGACACACTCACCACTCACTACTCACCAGACACACTCACCACTCACTACTCACAAGACACACTCACCACTCACTACCCACCAGACACACTCACCACTCACCACTCACCAGACACACTCACCACTCACTACTCACCAGACACACTCACCGCTCACTACCCACCAGACACACTCACCACTCACTACTCACCAGACACACTCACCACTCACCACTCACCAGACACACTCACTACTCACCAGACACACTCACCACTCACTACTCACCAGACACACTCACCACTCACCACTCACCAGACACACTCACCACTCACTACTCACCAGACACACTCACCACTCACCAGACACACTCACCACTCACTACTCACCAGACACACTCACCGCTCACTACCCACCAGACACACTCACCACTCACTACTCACCAGACACACTCACCGCTCACTACTCACCAGACACACTCACCACTCACTACTCACCAGACACACTCACCGCTCACCACCCACCAGACACACTCACCACTCACTACTCACCAGACACACTCACCGCTCACCACCCACCAGACACACTCACCGCTCACTACTCACCAGACACACTCACCACTCACTACTCACCAGACACACTCACTACTCACCAGACACACTCACCACTCACTACTCACCAGACACACTCACCACTCACCACTCACCAGACACACTCACCACTCACTACTCACCAGACACACTCACCACTCACCACCCACCAGACACACTCACCACTCACCAACACACTCACCACTCACTACTCACCAGACACACTCACCACTCACTACTCACCAGACACACTCACCACTCACCACTCACCCCAGACACACTCACCACTCACTACTCACACAGACAACTCACCACTCACTACTCACCAGACACACTCACCACTCACTACTCACCAGACACACTCACCACTCACCAGACACACTCACCACTCACTACTCACCAGACCACTCACCGCTCACTACTCACCAGACACACTCACCGCTCACACCAGACCTGCTCACCGCTCACTACTCACCAGACACACTCACCACTCACTACTCACCAGACACACTCACCACTCACTACTCACCAGACACACTCACCACTCACTACTCACCAGACCCGCTCACCACTCACTACTCACCACTCACTACTCACCACTCACTACTCACCAGACACACTCACCACTCACTACTCACCAGACACACTTACCACTCACTACTCACCAGACACACTCACCACTCACTACTCACCAGACCCGCTCACCACTCACTACTCACCACTCACTACTCACCACTCACTACTCACCAGACACACTCACCACTCACTACTCACCAGACACACTCACCACTCACTACTCACCAGACACACTCACCACTCACTACTCACCACTCACTACTCACCACTCACTACTCACCAGACACACTCACCACTCACTACCCACCAGACACACTCACCACTCACTACTCACCAGACACACTCACCTCTCACTACCCACCAGACACACTCACCACTCACTACTCACCAGACACACTCACCACTCACTACTCACCAGACACACTCACCACTCACTACCCACCAGACACACTCACCACTCACTACTCACCAGACACACTCACCACTCACTACTCACCAGACACACTCACCACTCACTACTCACCAGACACACTCACCACTCACTACTCACCAGACACACTCACTACTCACCAGACACACTCACCACTCACCACTCACCAGACGCCCTCACCGCTCACTACTCACCAGACACACTCACCACTCACCACTCACCAGACACACTCCCACTCACTACTCACCAGACACACTCACCAATCACCAGACACACTCACAGCTCACTACTCACCAGACACACTCACTACTCACCAGACACACTCACCAATCACCAGACACACTCACAGGTCACTACTCACCAGACACACTCACCAATCACCAGACACACTCACAGCTCACTACTCACCAGACACACTCACTACTCACCAGACACACTCACTACTCACCAGACACACCTCACCACTCACCAGACACACTCACAGGTCACTACTCACCAGACACACTCACTACTCACCAGACACACTCACCACTCACCAGAC